TTTAGGGGGAAATCACAGATCACAGTCCTCTAATCAAACAGGGAACAGCAACTGAATCCAGCAGCCGGAAGAGAGAGAGAGAGAGAGAGAGAGAGAGAGAGAGAGAGAGAGAGAGAGAGAGGGGAGAGAAAGCACATCAGCATTTATAGTATAAGAGGTCACACCCAAGTGGGTGGGTAACTTAAAGGCTATTGGCTGAAGGATTTCCTTCCATACTGTCCTGACTCCCTTCAGTGATGTGGAAGTATAAATCAAATAAATCCCTTTTCTCCCAAAGTTGCTTTTGGTCATTGGTTTTATCTGGTCAATCAGTGATAACCCTAAGACAGAAATTGGTACCAGAAGTATGGAGTTTTGCTGTGACAGATCTGGCATATGTTGTCTGGGGAGGACTGTGGGAGGATGGTGGGAGGACTTTGGGAGGACGGTGGGAGGACTATGGGGTGACGGTGGGCAGATGGTGGGAGGACTATGGGGTGACGGTGGGAGGACTGTGGGAGGACGGTGGGCAGATGGTGGGAGGATGGTGGGAGGACTTTGGGAGGACGGTGGGAGGACTATGGGGTGACGGTGGGAGGATGGAAGTAGAACAATGGGAGGATGGTAGAAGGACTGTGGGAGGACGGTGGGCAGATGGTGGGAGGACGGTGGGAAGACAGAGGGTGGGGGTGGGAGGACAGTGGAAGGACTGTGGGAGGACTCTGGAAGTTTGTGCTAGAAACGCTACTCCTGTTAAGAGCTTGATGAGCTGCCCTGTGCGAACTTGGAAGGCAAAACCGAGAGCAGTGCAGACGATGGAGGCCTGGCCTGTGAAGCCCACAGAGACAGCTGAAAACTATATTGGGGCCCTTTGCTATTCTGAATTAGGACTCTGTGGTCCTGGTCAGCTGGGGCTGGAGAGTCAGCCATGATTAACAAGAGACCAGCGTCCCTGAAGTGAAAGAATTGCTTTACTGGGACTACCAATGCTAGATAGCTGAAGCCGAGAACTCTGTGGTGATCAATAAGAGACCAGCTTCATAGATGTGAAATCTTCCTCACAGTGTTTCCTAGGGATCAGCACACAGAATTTGTGTTCTATCGGTGACCAAGATTGTACCTTGTGCTGGCCCCTGAACTTGGTTACGTGTAAGAGTCTCCCAGGTGGTATTGGTTCCCTAGGTGTGAAGGGGTCATGGAGAGCAGATGAAGCTCAGTACTATGAGAGGCCAGGTGAGGCCATTGGTGAAAATGCAGTTCAATTGCTGTAGAAGACGCCAGCATTTTGGAGATGCCAGTAGCGTGGGATAACTGTCAAGACTAGCAGCAGCCATAGAGTGGAGCCCACCTGAATCTAGAAGACAAACTGTGTGCTGCAGAGGGTGGAGCCTGAGAAGAGACCCTCTGAAGAAGAGTGAAAGATTGTGAACGAATTCCGGATATTGGACATTGAGTGATTGACACTGTTGGGGTTGGGTTTTGCTTTGATCCGATTAGGACTGTGCTCTGATTCTCTCCTCTTGAAACAAAGTATTTAACTTATTTTTTGACTTTATAGGAGCCTACAGTTGAGAGCATTTTGATTGTAAAAGAGACTTTGGCTGGTCGGTGGTGGCGCACGCCTTTAATCCCAGCACTCGGGAGGCAGAGGCAGGCGGATCTCTGGGAGTTCGAGGCCAGCCTGGTCTACAAGAGCTAGTTCCGGGACAGGCACCAAAGCTACAGAGAAACCCTGTCTCGAAAAAACAAAAAAACAAAAAAAAAAGAGAGAGACTTTGGATTATAAAAGAGACTAAACTTTTAAAGTGTTTTTTTTTAATTTGTATGACTGTAGGACATTATAAATTTGTAAAATATTTTATATTGTGGTGTTTATATTAATGTATGATCTTGGGGATGAGCAAGAAAGGAAAAGTTGTGGCTGAACAGGGATATATTTGTGTGTCAAGTTGGCAATGGGCAGTTGTGCTGACCAGCTTTGTTTACTAGATACTAGGTAGGGGCATCAGAGAGAAGGGTACCTCAGTGAAGAAAATGCCTCCATAAGATCAGGCTGTGTAGGCAAACCTGTAGGATATTTTCTTAATTAGTGACTAATGGAGGAGGGCCCAGGGCATGTGGGTGGTGCCATTCCTGGACAGGTGTCCTGGATTCTATAAGAAAACAGGGTAAGCAAATCATGAATAGCAAGCCAGTAAGCAGCACCTGTCCATGGCCTCTGCATCAGCTTCTTCTTCCAGGTTCTAGACATGTTTGAGCTCCTGTACTGACTTCCTTCAGATGTGGAAGTATAAATCAAACTCCTTTCTCCCCAATTTGCTTTTGGTTATGGTCTTCGATCACAGCAAGGAACCTTAAGACACAGGGTAACATTTCTTTTAAAGGTAAACATTGCAGTATAGATTACTAATATGTGAATCTAACAAATTGTAGTCTTTAAGTATTTTAAACTGAAAATCTAGCCAAAGGATGCTAAACATATTTAAAGGTTACAAGTAAGCATTAGGCTTATTCTAGAACAAATTAAAGAGACAGTGACAGCTAAGATTATGTTGTTATCTCTGCCTTTGACTAGGACAATTGCTGTGTGTCCTGGTGCCCTGGGGGCTTTGTAATGCTTGCTATGACCAACAGGAATAAGCCTTGTCTGGTAGCTGGATAAATGTTTTGGGTGGGGGAACACCACTTATGTACATAGACAAAGCATGGGTGTTACTTAAAAATAAACTTCTATGCTGTTTCCTGCCTAAAAACATTCCCCTTTTTAGAATTTATCTTGAGGCTTCTGCAGAGGTTCTAGAAGTTTGCATGAACCACCACTTCAAAAGGACATATTCCATTGGTATGTTCAGTCTTTAAGAAGACTTCTCTGTTTTAGCAACTGTTTCTGAAATTAGCTGGGGTCATGTCCCCACGATTGACACCTTCAGGTTGCTAACATGTGACATTGTTGCTATCGAGTTCTGTCTGTCCTTAGGCTTCTTGTCTTGTGTGGGGTTTTCTCTGTCAACTCAAATTTGTGTTGAAGAGAAGAAAATTGTGTTTAAGTAAGTAAATGACTAGTTAAAAGAAAGCCATGCAGAGCTGCATTCACGTATATGATATTTTTATGAAAATGTCTTGCCACATGATATATTCTGGTCATGGTTTACCCTTCCCCAACTCTTCCCACATCTTCCCCAAGTCCATATCACCCAACTCTTCACTCTTTTTTCTCTCTATTTAGAAAACAGATTTTACATTTTTAAAACTCGGTGTGGTTCCGTTCTCCTTAATAACACTCTTCTTTGCTTCCTCCTGGGAGCTCTGGTCACAGAGGTGGACAGAAGGCTTCTGAGAGGCACCTCCCTTAGCGGGCACTCTTGTCACCTCACCCTTCTTGAGTGTCACTCCTGGACCCCGGGTTCTCTGGAACACTGTGGGGCTTCCTTGGGCTGTGGTCCCCAGAACTCAGTGTTCTTCCATCTGTGTCTCCTGCTCACAACTCTCTGAGGCCAGGCCTTCAGGTGTTTTCTAACAAGGGTTTGGAAGAGCCACAATCAGGAAACATGACCAAAAGATGCCGCTTTTGTGTCTGCTTTAGTGTTTAGGGAGACAAACTGGCACCAAATCTCAGCAGAGTGATCCCTCTGTTGTTACCTGAGGGAGTTTTTTCATTTGTACATCTTTTTAGCTGGTTATGTTTCGGCCTGGCATCTCTCTGGCTCTCCATGGCTGTCGTTCCTCTTAACTGTTCCCTGCTCCCCCCCATGGTTTCACAGTTTCCAGTGTATGTGTGTGTGTGTGTGTGTGTGTGTGTGTGTGCGCGCGCAAACGATTATGTGAGTAGGTGACTTGGTGTGTGTGTCTCCTCCTGAGGGTAGGCCCCCACTCTGGCCCCTCAGCGCAGGAGGGGTGACTTGATATGGCTGGGGAAGAGGGGGGAATTCTGGGCTGATTTTGGATTAGCACTAATGAGTTCCCTAACCTTGAGTGGGTCACTCTGCACCTCCAGGGCTTTCCTATGACATAGTCTGGACTGACTGCACAAGTCCCTTGGGTTTTAAAAATTAATTAGAGGGTTTAGGTGGCACAGGCATCTGGTCATGACTCAGAGAATGAGATCATGTGTGTCTAAATTCTGATTCTGTCATGTAAAGTACAGCAGGGAGTATCGCAGCCTCCTTCCCTATCCCGGGACATGCTGGACTGTGTTCTGCCCCTTTGCTGGTTTGAGGGGGACACAGGCTCTGCTTGGCCAGGCTTAGCTCTAGACAACACTCCTCATAGACTATGCTTCTGGGTAAAGGCTGCACAGCTGGCCGGACACATCCTGGCTGCAGAACATGTGATGAATAACCTTATTCCAGGATAATAGGGGCAGGATTATAGAGGTGAAGGGCAGGGTGTCTGGGATAAGAGCAGCCACAGGGGTCCAAAACATTTCTCCAGGCTTCAGCAAATGGCTCTGCCTTACCCAGTGTGTACTTAGGGACAGTGATGGTCCTACTAGCTGTCTCTTGACCCCATCTTTCTTAGGATTTGAAAACTTGCCAATAAATGACCTTCAACGAAATCATATATGTTTGTATGTTTATATATGTATGCATATACAAGTGTATATATCCTGTATCTGTGCTTAAGTATATATGTATGTATGCATACACATATATGCTTAAATCCTTCAGGGTCCTGTTCTGCTTCTAATGAAACAAAGGCCTCAGGGACCAAGGATGCTGAGGGCAATGTGGCATTCTGTTTGTGCAAGGCACAGGAGATAAATCAGTGATTCCCACCCACACTCAGGAAAAATGACAGTTCTCCCGGGAAGAGACCTGTAGACAGAGACTGTTCATTCCTTTCCTGGCTGCCCAGACCCAAATAATCACACAGAAACTATATGAACTGCAACACCGTTTGGCCGATGACTCAGGCATATTGTTAGCTAGCTGTAACATCTTAAATTAACACATTTCTATTAATCTGTGTATCACCATGAGGCTGTGGCCTACTGGTAAAGTTCTGGTAGTATCCTTCTCCTTTGGCAGCGACATGGCATCCCCCTGACTCTGGCTACTCTCTCCCTATATCTCTGTTCAGATTTCTGACATATCTTTATTCTGTCCTTCCATAAGCCAAAGCATCTTCTTTATTTATCAACCAATAAGAGCAACACATATACAGAAGGACCTCCCACATCACAGACCAGAATAGTTCTGGCTTGTTAAATGATCTGAGTCAAAGTGAATGTGTTAAAAAGGTGAACATCTGTGTGTATACAGCAGGCCACAGGGACACTGTTCTCAAAGAGAGTCAGGGGTGTGGGAGGCCGACTGGTGGAGAGTGTGCAGCCTGTCAGAAGCCCAATTCCATGCTTGAACTCTGTAGATAGTCTCTTGATCTATTCCCACTCCAAAATGTCGTGATCCTGGGATGAAACACAGCTCCATGGCAGAAGACTTGTCTCCTTGCCTTGGCATGTGTGAGGCCTTAGGTTCAATCTTCAGATCTGGCAAAAAGAAAATAGCAAAAATCTATGATTCAACAAACGTATAAGAGTTGAATAGAAATACCACCAACAACCTCAGTGTAACAGTTCCGGTCTCTCTCTCTTCCACTTTCTCTTTTTTTAAAAAATGTTATTTACTTTTATCTTATGTGTATGAGTGTTTCCCTGCATGTATGTATGTGCACCCTGTGCATGTAGTACTTGTGAAGGCCAGCAGAGGGTGTCAGATCCCCCAGAATTGCAGTTAAAGACTATTGTGAGCAGCCTTGCTCTGCAAGCACAGGTAGTGCTCTTAACTCCTGCGCCATTCCTTCAGCCCCATTCTCTCCTTTTCAACACCTGTCAAACCTTGCTCTAGCATTCAAAAGCTAAGGAGCCTTTTTCTTCCGGGAAATGGTATTGTTTCCTGTCATCTCCCCAGCACCTAAACGGTTCTAAGGACTGTTATAACAAACTTCCCTGTCACCTTTCCTCTGTGTGCTGTCTTGGTCAGAAATAACCCCTCCCTTCCTTAGTGGCTTTTCTTGGGTATTTTACCACAGTGTTGAGGTGACAAAAGGAGCTCACACGTTCAGCCTCAGTTTGAATCTGTGGTATCTGCTCTTACTTCCATATAAGGTCTCATTCACCATCAGTCCCTCGGTTTGTAGGTGACAATATTTAACCTGTCAGAGATCCTAATTCAGAAACACACAAAGAAGCAAACACCACTTACTCAGAGCATGCCCTAAATGTTTCTCCTGACAAGATTCCAGTTGTATGAGTCCAGCCTCCCCTTTTCACTCTTCCCACCTGAAAGAATGGTTTTATTGTCCTGCTTGGGATGATGCTCAAGGGGCAGAGGGGTTTGCAGTTAGCTGTGTCTTCTTGCATCCCCATTATCACGGAGAGCATGCAGCCTCTCCCACTCTCTGGCCTCCTCCTCCTGTTCTAAAATAGAAGTTCCCAGCACATAGGGGTGACATACTGCCTCTCCCCTCTTCCAGAGCAGCTAACCCAACCAATAGCTCACACACGTGGTGCTGAGGAAACATCTGGTGCTGAGGAAAACAGGCGCAGCCGCTGCAGAAAAAGCACTGCTTTTCTATGCAACAACGTTACAAGTGTTAGTAATGAATCCTCCTCCTAGGCAGTGCCTGCTGTGAGCTGGCTTCAAGGACAGCTGTGTCCTCTGAAGCACACACTCAGATCTGCACGTCTGGATACAGATAAGACATGCTAGTGGTGTGTGTGTGTGTGTGTGTTTGTGTCTGTGAGTATGTCTGTCTGTGTTTGTGTGTGTCTGTGTGCCTATGTCTGTCTGTCTGTTTATTTGCCTGGGGGGGGCACACACGTGCATATATGTGCATTTGTGTGTGTGAGAGAGATGAAAAGTTAACAGGCAAGAGCTTGCTCCCATTTTTTTTTTTTAACACAGACAACTCCACCATACTAAGGAACCAGGAAAGCCTGCCCCTGCTAACAAATCCAACTTGTCTCCAAATCCCTATTTCCTTCAGCCTCGGAGGGCTTGGGAGGGCGTGCAGATAGAACCTGGGAAGCTCTCCAAACTGCTTATAGAGAAAGACGGTGAAGGCGGCAGGAAAGACACCAATCTGCCTTTGTCTTCATCCAACCCGACCTGGCGGAGGTGAAGGAGGACATGGAGGACTTAGTTGGACTTCCTGGGCTTCTCTTGCAGAATCGGTTACTACTCTGTTTTCCCAGAATCAGTTGTCTGTTCTTAGCACCACTTTGTATAGTCACAGGTCTAATTCAGCTGCCTGCTGCAGGAAGCATGATCAGCAACCCACACTGCCCGCAGGCATTCTCATTTCTCAGTGTTTACTCTAGAGAAGGATACAGGGCTGGCTCTCCCCCAGCCTCCTTGCTCAACAGCAACTGCTATCAATCCTAGTGGGAGTCCCCACTCACCAAGACAGCCACCATCTTTGAAAAGTTTCACTGACAAAAGTCCCATGAACTTTGCCTGCTGCAAATACCATGGTGCGTCCCATAACTCCACAGCTGGTCACAGTGGGAAACAATTAGGAGGCATTATTAACTGGGGATAAGGCTCCAAAAGCTGTCAAAGAAAGGACTGGTATTTTCATCTTTCAGATGAAGCAGAGGATAAGAATGAGTAGGTGCTGTACAGGAGCTCACAGCAAAGGGAACAGAGATGGGAGACCAGAAACTCAAGACTCCAAATCCCAACCGGAATGTTGTGTGGCTGAGACCTAAGGGGCATAGCAGTTCACGTGTGCAATGGAAAAGTGAGGTGAAGGAAATGCTCAAGACTCAAAATAGAAACAAGCAATGCTGGTGTGCAAGTAAGATGGTAAACAAGACAAGAACAAAGTGCCAGAGGACTAGTATTGCACGGAAGCGAATTCAGGGTGGAGTGGGTGTGTGGCTGAGTGGTAGGACAAGGGCTTGCCCAGCATGTGAAGCTCTGAGTTCACTTCTACATAACACACACACACACACACACACACACACGCACACACGCACACACATACACACACACACCAGAGAGAGAGATCACTTAAGGGAATGGCCTCCCGTATTTCCTTATGTGTTCATCGTGTCTTAGAAATAGTGTGAAATCAGAAAATCCAGCTGTAGGATGAGAGGGTAACATTGAACTTGACTGAGCTGCTCTATCCCCTGCAGTACTGAAAACGCTGAGATCCGGGAAAACAAAACACAATAACCCTCAAAACTCGGTCTACTTGCTTGAGTGGAGAATTCATTTACGTTTTCATTTCCAAATGGCTTCTCAGTTGACTGCGAACATTTAATGTCTCACAAAACAGAACTCAGGAAAACAAATAGCCCTTTGCCTAAACTTGGTGCTTGTATATTGGATGAGGAGGCAAAGCAATGTGACCTGAAGACAGCCCTTCCCATGTGTTTGAAATAAGGGAATCTTTGCTTGCAGTCAGCAGTGCACAGATGCCAGCCTGCTGCTGGAGAAGTTGTTCAGTCTCAGGGTCACAGGGGTGGGGTGATGGCTAAAGCAGCCCGGGAGCTGGAAGGTGCTTATTACAGGCCCTGGAACCTGTACTTTCAAAGCCTGGCTGTTTTCATGTTTCCTGTCTTTCCTTTGTCATCTCCTCTTTATTCTCTTTCTGAGTGTGCTAAAGATCTCTTGGAAAATTCTAACCTGTCTCAGCTAACTAAAAGAACTCCTAAAGAAGCCCTCTAGGAAGAAGCTGTTTGTTTTAGGCTATATAGCATTGGTATTTTTGGAAAATAATTTGAGTTTTCAAGACTACAAATTATTACATCTTTTGTAAGCAAGGACAACTAGCCAAAAGAAATCATGACAGGTAATGTTTCCCTTCCAGGAGTCTGTTAGCATGGTGATATGCTCCAAGGTTCTTGTGTAGGTGGTTGTGTGGACAGGCTTGTAAACACGAGCAACCTGCTAATAGAGACTGGGTCCTCTTCCACATTTTGGTAACCTTTTTCTCATATGTGTTGTACCATCTGTACTACTACGTGCGCACTATGGGACTGTAGCACCTGTACTACGAAATGGTTTGTGAGTCTCAGGCACACACACACACACACACACACACACACACACACATACACACAATCAACCTTGAATTCTTCAAGAATGCCCCCTTTATTGTGTCAAGGGGCAGCTTTTATAGGGATCCTTAACTGACAGCCCCACCCCAGCCAAACCTACCAGACACCACTCCCTGCCATCAGGAACTCCTGAGGGTCTCATGCTCAGAGCAGCTGCAAACACAAGAAAACAAGTTGTTTTGCTCAAAGAAGCTCCAAGTTTAACAAGTCGTTTACTGGAAATTCAGGGTTTGGGGGTCCACAGCCCCAACAATATGTGTGTACTTATGTTCATTTTCATGGATGCAGAGGTGTCAGTCTCACAGAAAGATGCGTTTCATTTTGCTGACCCACCCTCATCCCGGCTTCCAGCTTGGTATGGGCTGATGCGTGGCACATGGATTCATTTCCACATGCATCTCCTCCATATTGTACGCTTGTCATGACTTCCCCCCGAGCATCTTGAGACTCTCATTATTGCCGCGTCTGAGGAAACATCTCTTTTCGACTGGTTATTTTGTCACTGTTTTGAATATTCCCATTTCTCTGTCTGCAGTGACACACAGAGATGTCTCATTATCCGCCTTGTTTAGGCAGTGATTAACACATCATTAACATAGGAAGAGTTGGGGAAATTGTTAAAGACTGTCGAAAAGTGTAGTAACTGTTAATAGTCGCCAACTGTTCATAAGGCATTTAGCTTAATTTGTAAGAAACCGTAGTGTTTGAAGCCTCACCAATCTGCATAAAAATTTGCCAGCGGTAATGGTCCTTTGCTTGTGGGCTTGTGATTGGTCTTCACACGGGGTCAGGAAGGATATCTCCCCATTCAAGGGTTTTATGGTTAGGGGTATCATGGGGGATTTTACTTTCTTCCATGACATCTGGCACCAACGATAGCCATGCGCAGATCTCCTGACTCAACGGACCATTCATTTTCCCGCAGAAAGCTATGTGAATTTTAAGAAAGCACCCAGGAGCGTCTGTAATTGAGGCCATGTGTTATCAATTACAGAGGAGGGAGAAATTAGTTTCTCTTAGCTCGTTGCCATTCTTTACGAGAAAACTTCTGTCCTAAGATAAACCTAGCACACCCCGAGGTTGTTGGGTCAAGGGCCATGGGTGACCTTTGCCAGACTCCAGAGAAGCAGCCATCACCCCTGTGTACCTGGGATGGGCAGGCCAGGTTTTCTGTGCCTGAGTGTCACACAGACACATGACACCAATCTTCTCGAGCACGCAGAAAGCAGCTGCTTCTTGGTATAATTTTAGAAGTGCTAAGCAGTTTTCCTCTGGCCTCAAATAATCCCTCCTAACTTTAGCAACTCATTTCCAATGAAAAATTATTTTCCAATTTCAACAGTCCCTTGCTTCTGTGTCCTTATCATAACATCTTGAGGGAAAGTCACCTCTGGTCTGTTGGGGACTATTTTACCCACTAAGCCTTGTCCAGGAGATTTCTAGGGTACAGCACCTGGTTGCAGAAGGAAGTACAGAGGGAGCTGTTTAAGGGTGGGTGGGACTCACTGCATGTGGGTAGGGAAGACAGAGTGGGAAACCAAGGAAGAACAGGATATCCTTCTGCTCAGGACACTGCAGGCAGAGAGCTTAGGGGTCAGTAGGCTCTGTGATTCAGGATCAGACACATTCTTCTTTTTTTTTTTTAAATATAATTTTTTTATTGAAAAAAAAAAGATTTCCGCCTCCTCCCCGCCTCCCATTTCCCTCCCCGTCTCCCTTTTCCCCCCTCCTCCCTCTCCTCTCCCCCTCCCCCCCTCTCCTCTCCCCCTCCCTCTCCAGTCTGAGGGGCAGTCAGGGTTCCCTGCCCTGTGGAAAGTCCAAAGTCCTCCCCGCTCCATCTTGGTCTAGGAAGGTGGACATCCAAACTGGCTAGGCTCCCACAAAGCCAGAACATGAAGTAGGATCAAAACCCAGTGGCATTGTCCTTGGCTTCTCAGCAGCCCTCATTGTCCGCCATATTCAGAGAGTCCGGTTTTATCCCATGGTTTTTCAGTCGTAGTCCAGCTGGCCTTGGTGAGCTCACAATAGATCAGCCCCACTGTCTCCGTGGGTGGGTGCACCCCTCGTGGTCCTGACTTCTTTGCTCATATTTTCCCTCCTGAAGAGCAACATGGCCTGCTGACCCCTGTGTTTCTGTGGAGATCTGTTCCTGACCCCACCCCATTCTCCTACCATCACCCCTAGAAGCATGGGCCACTCTTCCAATGTGCCCTGTGGCTCTGCCCCCATTGTGTCTCTACACTGGTCAGATGGACCTGCTCCCACTTTTTGATTTCCAGAGCTCTAAAAGAAACTTTGTTTCTCTAAATGCAGGCAATAGAAACTAACGCAGAGTGTGAGCACTGTGAAAGCTTTTGGAAAAGAGACCTTTATCCTGCGTGGCTTGCTATATAAAATATTATTTTGGTGCACTGGTAGCAGGTCAGGAGTTAGTTTAGGTGTACAGCAATATATGTCATGCTGTCTGGTAAAAGAAGAGAAGCCCTGGGCACACATGGTGATCCCTGGAAGCTGTAGACTATGTGATGACCTCATGGACTATAATAAGGGTTTATGGTGAATGAGAAGGCTTGAATTTTCCCTGTTCTAGAGAACTACACCTCAGTGTGATGGGGGCCGTCACAAATATTCACAGAGGACATGGCTGAGACAGGGTGTTCCTAACTTTGGGATGATAGCATTGAATGAAACAAGTACGGCCTTCCTGACACTTCCCATTCCAACCAGAAGTAAACATACATAAATCAGAGAGTCTTCCAGAAAGCACTGAAGGATAAGGAGAAGCCTAAGCAGACAAGAGAATATGGAGCTAGGGTATTCCAGTGGGGCTCAACTCTAGGCTGTAGCTTTGGAAGTACATCATCCTACAGAGTGCATAGAATGAAAGACATCAACTGTGACAGACAGCATCCTGAAAGGTGTTACAAGCCGTGGCCTCAGTAGGCAGTACATTCTCCACATACAAACAATAAGAGCATACTGAAAGTAGCATGCTATCCTCCTCTGTGGTATATAAAATACTTCTGGGAAAGATACTCCCTGATTCTCTGTGGGGTCTGACTCTTTGGGTGTTAAGGCCCAGCATCTACTACCTGACCAATGGGCAATGTAACTGACTTTTTGGAGACATTACAGTTGTCATAGGATCTCAAATTTAAAGAGCAACAAGATGGAAGGAGTAACAGATACACGGAGTGACAGGATACACTAGGCAAGAAGACAGAAGGGACATGAAAAGCAGAAGGGGCCAGACAAAGGCCTGGACAGAAGTTAAAAGGTGCATGTGTCTCTGCTAGCCACCATGCAAAGAGGAGCAGTTGATTTTGGTTTACAGTTGCAAAACTTTCAGTCCTTGATTCCTTATTCCCTTGGCCTTTGGGCCTCAGATAGGGCACTGTTTCTGGGCATGCAGGGAGATCATGGTGAAGATGTCATGTTTACTTTTCCTAGAAAAACATGAACAAACATAGATTTGCCCCAGATGGGGCAGAAATGTCTGGCTAACGAACCCCATCTCTGTTGGTTAGAAGTATGCTCCCTAAGCTTAGACATTGGAAACTTTGTCCCCATAGTGGTGCTGTTCAGGGAGTTGGGAAGGTGTGGCCTCACTGGAGGAACTATGACACTGAGGGCAGGCTTTGAGAGAATGTAGCTTTGCTCCCACTTCCGGTTGACCTCTTTGTTGTGGGTTGTGAAGATATTTCTCAGCTTCGTGCTTCTGCCACCCTGTCTTCCCACTGCACTGTTTTCCTGTTGCCATGGACTCTTAACTCTACAGAACTCTAAATTGCCAGGCTGTTTGGTTTTGGTCAGCTTGACACAAACACATGTATGTATCTGTAATCAATTCTGCGGGCCATTTTCTTGATTAGTGATAGAATTGGGAGGATCCAGCTTACTGTGGGTGGTGCCAACACTGGTTGGGTGGTCTTAGGTTGTATAAGAAAGCAGCTGGGTAAACCACAGGAGCAAACCAGTGAGCAATGTTATTCCATGGACTCTGCTTTGGTTCCTTCTTCCAGGTTCCTACTCGAATTCCTGCCCAACTTCTTTGGATGGTGGGCTCTAATATAGAAGTGTAAATCCAATAAACCCTTTCCTCCCCTAGTTGATTTTTGTCAGGGCCTTTTCACAGCAACAGAAAAGTAGTTAATATATTACCAGGTGTAGCTTGGTGAATCATTGAATTTAATTGGGATTACTCAGAGGAACACTGATCAAAGAATTATCTAGATACAGGAAGGGCTTGCAGGCTGTTGCTTTACTGTCAAAAGCATCCCTTCCCTTAGCAATAATTAGCTGATGTGGGATTCCCCTCTGTATGCTGTGAATATGTTTTATTGCCACTGGCTAATAAAGAAGCTGTTTTGGCCTATGGTAGGGCAAAAAAAAAATCCAGGTGGGAAATTTGAACAGAGATATATAGAGTAGGCAGAGTCAAAGAGATGCCATGTAGCTGCCGAAAGAGAAAGATGCCAGAACCTTACTGGTAAGCCACAGCTTGATGCTGGTACACAATTAATAGAAATGTAAGAGCTAGCTAGAGATATGCCTGAGCCATCAGCCAAGCAATGTTGTAATTAATACAGTTTCTGTGTGGTTATTCGGGTCTGGGTGACTGGGAAATGATGTGCAGTCTCTGTCTACAATTAGCCACTTACATATTATCACAGAGGTACAGGGCCTCATGCACTACCTCATGAGCCACTCTCAAGGCTCTTGTGCACCACCCTCTGTGTCCTGAGAGCCACAAGGGAGTGCTAAGGGTCCAGCCTTGTAAGGACCTCCTACAGACCATAACATCTGGATGGTAGTGGCATATGCCTGGAGGAGAGGGTTAACCCATGTCAGGGTTAAGGGTGTTTGCCTTGTGGTAGTAAGGAATAGAGAGAGGAAAAACAAGAAAGCGTTTGGATGCCACATGTCCTTCGCACAGCCTCCCAGTGACTTTACCATCTTTCATTAGATACCATTTCTTATCAGTCCATCTCCTAATGAGTATCACCAGCTGGAGGCCGAACCTTAAACATACAGACTTTGGGGAGATTTAATGTCCAGAGTATAGCAGATCTCTGCTGTCTTCACTTTCATTTTCAATTTTTAAACAGTTTGGAGAATTCAGCACACACACAATGTGCTTTGATCAAGTCCAC